CCTGTCTTCTGGAAGACTCCTTTGTTACAGAAAAAGTGAAGAGACTCCCAGTGCTGCATAGCAAATTAGTGGTTGAGCCAGAAATGAAACCCAGACATCTGAACCCTCAATGTTTTTGGGCCCTGAGTTCTGCCTGTCAATCAGAAAGGGAAGAGGAGAGGAATCTAAAAATCAAAAGCCCTCCCCCCCATGCCCCTCCTGAGTGAGATAACACTGTTGACAAAGCAAGGACAGTTTATTTGACTAGAACACATCTTTTGCTATTACTTTATCCTATGGGATTCTTTGAAATCTTTTTTAAGATCACACTAAACAGAGTCTGCAAAAAGAATGGAAAGGAAAGTCTTTTCTTTCTCTCTCTTTTTTCAGGGCATTAGAGGGAGTCGGAAAGCTTAAAGGAAGGAAACAGATGTGTCTTCCTGGCCTCCCCATTATTTTTATCTTGGTAGCAGAATGGAAAATGAACCCTACTGTCAGGCTCCCTTTCTTCCCACAGTTTTTTTTTTTAATCCTACAAATCTGTCTTTCCTTTAACTGTAGAGTCTTACAGTTGAAAAATCATAAAGGTCTACTCATAAAGACTTACATAAAGGCATGATTTACTCATGAGCTATAACAGAGTTAGAAAATGGAAATAAAAAGCCTCCCCACCCCCATCTTAGGTTATTTAGCATGGAATTGAGAGGATGGTGAAGTGCTTGGGTGTGATGCTGTTGAAAAAGGTGATTCTGTCTTTCATGTGTAAAAGCCTAAATGCCCAAGAGTTCATCAGTCTTTTGGAGGTGTAGACCTCACCTGTTCCCTGCAGAGCTTTGTCGGGAGTCAGGGCTGAGGCTGCAGGTATGTCACAGTCACAGTTCTTTGCTCTTGGGTCACTTCAGGCTGCACCCTGGACTGGCTAATAATTCCTGGCTAATATTGGCTAATAAACTGACTAATAATCCCTTCCCAGAGTTGCCGACAATGTTCCATAGGTCAAAAACAAAGTAAAATTGAGTGTGGCACCTTAGAAAGCTCAACAAACTCTTCAGAAGACAGAATTTGACCGTCAGATAGGCAAACATTAACACATGGCCCTTGTCTTCTTCCACCTGGGGACTCACAGCTCTTACACTCGAGTAGCTGTGGAGGGGTGAGAAGTCTGCTGCTTATTAGGAATGCCAGTGGGTTGAATGGAGGGCTCTGATCTCCATATTTTATTCCACAGATACTCATTCGATGCTACCTCTTGCTACCTAAATATGAGATTTATTATTTTGGTAAAGCTGTTGCGACTGTATTCAAGGAAGCATAATAAAATTTCAGATCTCCACGACGAGGGCATGACTCAAGTCTGATGCTGCTCCTTTATCCTTCATTCATTTCCTTTTCATTGGATTTTTTCCCTCATAGCTAATGTTTATCTTTCCTCATTGACCTTTTAATCCTGAATATCTCCAACGGGGGTTCCTAATCTTAGCATATAACAATGCAATGGTATATAAAGAGTGAATTTAAACTAAGAGAAAGGAAACGGTTAGAAATTAAACTTGGCAATGGCAGGATATTTTCTAAATTTGACCATTGCCAGAGTTTTAAAAAGAAGTGGTCATTTTGGGGGGTCTATATTGAAAATAATGCTAATAATCACCTTACTCTTGGAGTATAAACATCATTGGAGAGTTTTCTTGACTGAGATGTTGCTGAAAGCAAAATACTTGATGAGCTGGGTTAGCTGAATTAATGTGACCCTTGTTTTTCATAAGTTCTGGATCTGTAAATCTTCACATACACCAGTCTTCCTAAACCTTTATACGAGAGGTATTCCTTTATTGTGATGAGTAGACCCTCGTCAGACATACTGTAGTATGTGTGGGAGAAAAAAAACAACAAAAAAACCAACCTGTTATTGTTCCTCCCACATTGTCTGTCTGTGAGTTTCATAATCTTACGCTAAATTTGGCTATTACTGACAACAGAAGTCAAATGACAGCACTTTTCATACATCTGGGAAAACGAAATTAGGAAAAAGATAGTGCTTTTCAGAATGGCCAAGTGGTTTTGCTGGTGAACTTGGTAGGAAAGGCATGCATAGATATAAATCATAAGTCTGAAAAATAATCTGTTTTATAGATTATGGGCTAATTTATTTATTTTTGATCCTAACACCAAATCCCACTTTTCCATGCCCGACATTTGCTTCATTGAATTGATCTGACGTTCTTGGCTATTCCCAGGGGCTGGGTGTGGATATTGTGTTTAGGTGTGCCATTTTTGTGATGAGGTAGATTAAACTTATGGGTCATTGATATTCAGTGGGTCTGTTGAAATGTGTGACTGAGGCTGGGCACAGTGGGTTATGCTTGTAATTTCAGCCCTTTGGAAGGCCGAGATAGGGGATCATTTGAGGCCAGAAAGTTTGAGACCAGCTAGGGCAACAACAGTGAGACTCCGCCTCTACAGAAAACAAAAAAATACATCAGACAATTAGTTGGGTACGGTGATGTGTGCCTGTAGTCCTAGCTCCCTGGGAGGCTGAAGCAGGAGGATCACTTGAGACCAGGAGACCAAAGCTGCAGTGAGCTATGATTGCACCACTGCACTCCAACCTGGACGACAAAATGAGATCCTGACTCTAAAAATTTAAAATGAACAAACAAACAAAAAATGTGTGACTGAGACAAACCTGGCTCTAAATCTCTAGTCTTGCATGTTCTTATGGGATTGTATGTGTAAAAGTCCTGCGACTACAGACCCTGCTGTCACAGTGTTGGGGTCCAGGAGGTTATGAAGACACATCAGAGTGGCCAGGTCCTTCCAGGTTAAGCAGTGAAAGTCCTACATCCAGGAAAAGTCCCCTGCTCTGTGCAGATTAATAGGACTTTGTTTTAAAACTTAAAGTCTGGTGTCTCAGGAATCCTTTCAGTCCCAGGCAGTCTGGGGTGGTTGGTCACTCTAGTACAAATCAGGAATTGCACACTTATGTCCAAATATTTTAAAATCATAAGTCAAGTTAATGAGTTGTGAACTACAATAAGTCCTACCTTCCTCCTTGACAAGTACAGGTTTATAATGAAGAGGAAGGCTGTGTTTGAAGTTGGAATTCTCAGCCTGCATGGAGGGGCATGGCGGGAAGAGGGCAGAGTGAGCTTGTCTTAAAAAAATGAATTACTGAGCAGTTTGAGGAATTACTTGCTCTCTGGGGGATATAGAACCTTCCTTTCAGGGATGGTAAATCCCCCTGGTAAGGGGGACACCATTTTTTTCTAAGGCTTTTGCAAAGGGAAAGGACTTCAGAAGACAAATGGGTCCCCTGCAAATGACATCAGGAGGGCTACCACTGGGACTTCCTGCTGCTTTATTCACTGAATTACCCCTCAAGTCACAGCACAGGCTGTAAGTCTCTTCTCAGGGAGTCATAACAGCTACAAACAATCCTGACAATACGTATCGACATATTGTAACTCAAAACTACTCTGAAATGGTGTTTGGGATAATAAAACTCAAAATACAACTGAAATGTACTGGAATCAGTGACTTGGCATTAATTGATACAATGTCATCACATGCGGCTGTGCACTGCACAATGGTAGGTGGTGCTATTAACATAGACTACGATATGAAAGCGTCCTCTAGAGTTCTGCAAAGGAAGGACTACATAAAAGTACACAGCATTCCTGAATCGAAGTACACAACCATTCATTTCCTTTTTTTCTTTACTAAAATAGATATTTTTCTAGTTGAAATGAGATAAAATTGTAATTTGAATATTGGGGCCCCTTTTATTTGGTTCTTCATTTAGACTCAACTTCATTATTTACTGGGGACTGTGTGAACAGAAAATTGGCTCATTTCACTTCGTTTTAATGGTATTTTCCTACTAAGGGTTCAGAAGTGAAATGAAAACTGAGTAAGCTTTATGGTTTACAAGTTTTACTGTTTCACATAGCAAATGAGGACTAAAGGCGTAGGAAATAGCTTTGGAAATTCATTTTGCAGTCACTTAAGTGTTATAACAAAATTTAATTTTATTTCTAAGTAGACTTTCATGTAGAGACCCAGTTAGCTCTGATTGGAGAATAAGTAACCCATGTTTTTGCCACCAGTTCTTGTTGATGCTGAGTATTTATTTATTTATAATTTTTATTTAGAGTCTCACTCTGTTGACCTCCTGGGTTCTGGCAACCCTTCCAACTCAGCCTCCCAAGTAGCTGTCACTACAGGTGTATGCCATCACACCTAGCTTTTTTTTTTTTAGAGACAAGGTCTGGCTGTGTTTTCCAGGGTGGTCTTGAACTTCTGGGCTCAAGCAATCTTCCTATCTCATCCTCCCAAAGTGCTGGGATTACAGGTGTGAGCCGCCCTGTCTAGCCAAAAAAAATTTTTTAAATGTTTTTGACAATTCTCAGAGGAATACCTTAGAGCAGAATATTCTGATCATTTGATGGCTGTAGAGTCATCTCTGAACATTAATTTGGTATACTATTGCATTTCTCTCTGACATGATATTTATAACCACTTGTATGTAAATGATTTCAGTAGAGAAAGTACATTTCATTACACTCATAACATGTTCTTGAATGCAGCAGGTCTCTACACACAATTTGACAACAACCCTCACACCATCAGAGAATAACACAAGGGGTCCACAAACTATCTGTCTCTGAAATTAAAATGCCAGCATTGCAATGAAAAGGGCCAACTGTATAATAGCAATAGTACAAAAAAGAGAAATGGTCATAATTCGTTGATTGCTGAAATTTTTCAAAAGTGATTTGTGATTTTTGTTGTTGTTGTTGCTATTTTCTTTTTTTAGGGGGATGAAAGTTAGAGGGCTAGGGAGGGGAGCTGAGTTGACATGGAACAAATCAAGAATTTCAGGTTTTTATTTTATCTGTCCTGTAAAGCAGTCTATTAGATTATAACACTTTTGATGTATATTGAGCATGTTTTAGTTACATTAGTACTTTTTAATTCCAAGATGCATACTTACAAATCTCTGCTATGTTTTGCTTTTTTAGGTGCAAATCCGAATTATCCTGATGTAATCTATGAAGGTAGCTATCATGTTTTCTTTACTTCGTATTTTTTTAAAAAGTCTATGTGTAATGAAATAAATCAACTGAAAGAAAATCTCTAAGCCCAGTTAAATAGATACTTTAAGCACTACATAGGCCAAATAATATTTCAAAAATCATTCAATATTGATGGCCATTTTCCCTTGACATTTGCAGTGCCTGTAAATAGCACTTTCTCTCTCATGCTCTGTTCTTGGAAGTAGCAAATCCATCCCGCTGGCTGTAACAGACATTGTATTTCCATAATTGGGAGCGAATTGCCTGTTAAAAGCCATAACTACCAAGAAAAGGGAGCTATATCAGTTTCTAGCTATGGAAGTCAACCCAATCCAAAATTATGATTCTTGTATGTTGAAAAAGTTTGGCTCATAGACGTGAACTTCCAAGGTAGAGTTTGCTTTAGGGTTTATTGAACCAGCAACTTTATCATGCGACCAGGGACTCAAGCTTTCTTTTTGTCTACACTTCCTTACCTGTTGTGCCGGCTTTACCAGAGGCTGGTCCCTTATGATTATAAGATAGTGTCAGCAAAGGGGCTGCTGCCATTTGCATGAATGGGAGAAAGGGATGAGCTTCACTCAGGAGAAAGAGCGCTTTCCCAGAGACTTCCACCAAGCCTTCTCTGTATCCAATTCAAGATCCAGTTGGGTCATGGCCCATTCTTGCCCTCATTTTACTGATAAAAAGGATGGAATAACCCTTGTCCAGCTAGACCCAACCCTGGAGATTAGATCAGCTTCCCCAAAGATAGAGAAGCTTAAAATTTTGAACAAAATGGGAAGGTTCTCTTAGGAACGAAGAAGGGAAGAAACCAACGACCTATTACATTAGCTTTTGACTGGCTATCTCATCTTTCCTTTGCTACGTTGATTCAATGCCTAGGATGTTTTACTAAGTATGAAAACCCATTTTAACAGATTTCCAGATTGCCTTCATGATCAGGAAGCCACTGTTTGGGGAAGTGGTAGTCTACATTTAAAAGCTTGGCTTTTTGCCAGGTGCAGTGGCTAACATCTACAATCCCAGCTTTTTGGGAGACCAAGATGGGATGATCACTTGAGGCCAGGAGTTGGAGACCAACCAGGGCAACGTAACAAGACCTGGTCCCTATAAAAATAAAATAATAATAAATAAATTAGTTAATTAATCAATAAAGACTTGGCTTGAAATTTAAGAATGATTAAAAGTTAAATTGATTAAAATGCTGTATTTATATGTTTGTTCTATAAAAAGTTGTTTCTTTAATTTTATGTTTATATATACTGATTGACCTTTTTTGTATAAAACTGTTCAGTTTGTATGTTTATTACATGTGTGCATATATTTAACTGGAGTTAATTTTTTTTTGAGTCAGAGTCTCACTCTGTTGCCCGGGCTGGAGTGCAGTGGCATGCTCACAGTCACCCCAGTGTCGACCCTCTGGGCTCAGGTGATCCTTCTGCCTCAGCCTTCCAAGTAGCTGGAACTACAGGCATTCGCTACCACGCCTGGCTATTTTTTTTTTTTTTTTTATTGTAGAGATGAGGTCTCACCAAGTTGCTCAGGCTGGTCTCAAACCCCTGGGCTCAGGTAATCCTCTCATGTGGGCTCAAACCCCTGGGCTCAGGTAATCCTCCCAAAGTGCTGGGATTATAGGTTTGAGCCACCGTGTCTGGCCCACTGGAGTTAATTTTAACCAGGGAATTATATTGTCTTTACCTGCTTGTGTGTAGTAAGCCATATTTCTTCCAAGCTATGATTTAGTTAATTTTGTATATGTGATTTGTATGTTTTTTGTTTTCACTTGTCATCATATGATTTAAAGGAAGAATATCTCAAATTGTCTCACAGAGAAATAAGTTTGAATTGGGATTTTTCATTTTAAAATTATATCTTGGACCCCTTTCCAGTAACTCCAAGACTTTAAAAATGTTGTCCATGATGGTCTCAGAGCTCACTTGGTTCTTTGGGCTAAAATGTCATTATATTAAGCTTTAGATACTTGAATGATTTACATTTTGCTTGAGTGGTTGGCTATAATATTAAGAGGGAAAAATAAACAAATACATGATATTTATTACTGTTTAAAATCAGGAAGGTTTAAGATACTCAAAATGAAAATGGTAAGAAGGTGGTTTTGGCATTAAGAATAAAACAACAAATAGATAGAAAATTGATGTTTTTATTCTGTTATATTTATTCACAAAGGAACACTCTGCTAATAAAATGCAATTTAAATTGGTTGCCCCGAGGCCAGCATGAAGATTCTACCTGGAGAAACTTAGCTAGGGCTGAGTTAATGAGGTAGCTTCTTCAGGATGGAAATGGAAGGCTCTGTACCTATTTAGAATTAAAATACAGACATTATAAACAACATTGTCTGCAGTAAGTTTACCAAGAGTTTTCTGAAACCTTTTGTATGTGTGTGATGTTACTAATAAAAACTTTGACTACCTCCTCACACACAAAAAAATCAGTCATTATTTCCATCCTGACCCATGCAGACTAAAATTGCTCTAGAAGACAGCAACTGCATTTGAGACTTGGTGAAATGAGAACATAGCCTTAAAATTTTAAGTATCGTTTGGGTCTGCCTGTTAATAATTATGAAACTGAAATATTGGCAATTCAGAACTCTTTGAAAAAGTTCATGTGCAGAACCAGTTTCCACACTGATGCTGATTCTACCTTTTGTCTTAAGCATCTGCTCTTTACTCAAACAAGACGCACCTACCTGGGATTCAGTGTTGCCTGTTCTAAGTCTGAGATCATGTCTAAGTTCTGATACCTTCTTGCCAGGTGGCCTTAGGCATTTCACTTTCTCCTCAGCTGATATTCTTCAGCTGTAAAACTGGCAGTTAAGCCGGGTCTCCAAAATACCTTCCAGATCTATAAATCTGTAACTTTAGATGATTGATTTCCTGTCATGTTTGCTTTAAACATGCCATCAATAAAGGGGAATATTCTTATGCGCAAAGAAAAGTCCCTGAACCAGGTTTAGAATTTGGCCAACAAAACAATGATGCAAAGGTCTGGGTTGGATAAAACGTTGGTGTAGGGCAGTCCCAGTGCCACAGCGGATTAATTCTGCAGCCTGGTCATGTTCCCCCTCAGCCAGGCTGTCTGTGGTTTGGACTTTGTGATTCTCTTGCTTTGTTCTGGCTCTTACTGTGGTCTCGTGTTTGTTGGCTGCATAATGTCAACTTCATGTTCCTTTTCTTTTCCTCTTCTTCAACTTAAGATTATGGAACTGCAGCAAATGACATCGGGGACACCACGAACAGAAGTAACGAAATCCCTTCCACAGATGTCGCTGACAAAACTGGTCGGGAACATCTCTCGGTGAGTGGGAGAAACAGGTGTTTTCTGGATTGGTTCTAAGCATTGTGGATGCTTGCATGTTTGAGGAATGTACCTACTTCAATGAGACATATTTTTATTGTTCAGATGCAAAGAGGGCATTCAAGGTTGGAGGAATTAATACAAAGGTTTAAGAAAAGTGATAAAGGTGTTCTACAGCCTTGGACTTATTTGCCTCTCCTATGCACCACTCTGAATTGTTAGTGATTCCTTTTGCAAATATCTGGGCTTTGAAAGGTTATCACTAGAAGAGCAGGAAACCATCTCTTCTTATTCATGGACCATGCCTTCACACCTGTCTCCTTAAATTTTTAATAAAAGTTTGGCAGCTCATCCAATGTACGAATCCAGTAGATTCTGGAAGAGATCGGCAGTGGGAGGATAAAAATAATGAATGAAACTCAGATTTATTGTTTAGAAGCTTATATGTCAATCAGAGACCCTACATGTGAATACCAGCACTTAAAATACAAATAGCGGCAGAATAATGGGGTGGGTATAAGAGACAGAGGGGCAGGCGGTCCGTTCCTTCCAGCTGGGAGACTCAGGGGAGTCTGTGGAGTAAGTGACATTTTGCATGGCCTGGGCAGAGGGGTTGGGATTTGGACATACAGCAATAAAAGGAAAGGGCATTTGGGATATGCAAATAGGAGCCTGTGGATGGGGAAACATGTTGAAGGTGTTGATTAGAGGTTGGAATATGTACAGGGCAGCAGTGCTGGGGATGTAAGTTGTGGCCAGATCCTAGATCTTGATGTACGGTTCCAAGCGTGCCCATTTATGGCACAGGGGTGAGCCACTGAAGAAGGAAATCAAAGGATCCCAGGAGTCTATGGTGGGATTGGTCGGGTCAAAGGTCTGGTCAAAACTCAATAGCAGCTGAGTGTGGTGGCTCTCACCTGTAATCCCAGCACTTTAGAAGGCCAAAGCGAGAGGATTGCTTAAGCCCAGGAGTTCAAGATCAGCCCAGAAAACACAGTGAGACTCTGTCTTGACAAAAAATAAAAAATTAACCAGGCATGACACATACCTGTAGTCCTAGCTACTTGGGAGGCTGAAGTGGAAGGACAGCCTAAGCACAGGAGGTTGAGACTGTGGTGAGCCATGATCATGCCACTGCACTCCAGCCTGGTTGATGGAGTGAGAGTCCAACTCAAAAAACAAGCAAACAAACAAACAAACAAATATCTTCCATTTTTTTTCTTTTTTTCATTGCCATATGCACGCAGTCAATACTTCCTCTGAGCTGTGCTTCCTAACCAATTCCAAATCAGTCCATGTCTGTCTACCTCCACCACCAACCACGGTCACAGGTTAACTCAGGGGTTGACAAACTTTGGCCTAAGGGCAGAGTCCTACTTACCACTTGTCCCAGCCTGTCCCAGGTTTGTGCAGTTTATAGGCTAAGAAGAGTTTCTACATTTTAAAGTGGTTTTCAAAAAAAATCGAAATAAGAACGATGTTCTGTGACACATGAAAGTTTTTATAAAATTAAAATTTCAAGCTGGGCTTGGTGGCTCAGCCTGTAATCCCGTGCCTTTGGGAGGCTGAGGTGAGTGGATTGCCTGAGCCCGCAGGTTCGAGACCCGCCTGGACAGCGAGACCTCATCTCTACAATAAATTAAAAAAAATCAGCCGGGCGTGGTAGTGCATGCCTGTAATTCCAGCTACTTGGAAGGCTGAGGCGGAAGGATCCTTGGAGCCCAGCAGGTCGAGGCTGCGGTGGCTGGGAGTGGCCACTGCACTCCAGTCTGGGCGACAGAGTGAGACTCCAACTCAAAAAATAAAAAAATAAAAATAAATAAATAAAAATTTCGGTGTCCGTAAATGAAGTTTTATTAGAACACAGTCAAACCTGTTCTGTGACCTATTGTCTGTGGCTGCTTTTGCACTATGGTGGTGAGTGGAGCAGTTGCCCCAGAGACCACATGACCTACAGAACTGAAAATATTTACTCTCCGGCCTTTTACAGAGAAAGTTGGCCTCAATTGCTCCTTCCTGCATGATTGTCACAGCCTCCTAACCCTCCTCCCTCCCCCACCCTTGTGTCTTCTGTTCTTTCTCCACAGAGCAGCCCAAGTGCCCTTTGTAAAGCACAGATCAGATCGCTTTTTTTTTTACCGTTCTCAGAGTCTTCTCACTGCGATCGTAATGAAAATCCTGTAATAAAAGCCACACTTCTCACAGTGGTGTGTGAGGCCCTACATGATCTTGTCTTTACACTACTCTGACTTCATCTCCCACATTCTCCTCGCTGCTTGTCACCTGCCTTTTTCATGCTCTCTCAGACACTCCAGGCTCCTTTTTTTTATATTGTTTCCCCCACAAGGCATATGCTCCCCAGTGGTCATCACATGGCTTTAGCTAGTTGTCCAGTAGGCAGCCATGGCTGCCTTTTGTTTTCTTCTGAGCAGTTATTATTGTCTGGAATTACCTCATTTGTTTATTTGTTTGTTTGGGTTTTTTTTGAGACAGGATGTCACTCTGTCACCAAGGCTGGAGTGTAGTGGCTCAATCACAGCTTTCTGTAGCCTTGTACTCCTCGGCTTAAGTGATCCTCCTACCTCCAGAGTAGCTGGGAAAACAGGTGTGAGCTGCCCTACCCAGCTATTTTTTAAAAAAATGTTTGTAGAGACAGGGTCTTGTTATGTTGCCTAGGCTGGTCTCAAACTCCTGGCCTCAATTGATCCTCCCACCTTGGCTCCCAAAATGCTGGGATTGCAAGTATGCATCACCGTGCCTGGCCTATTTGTTTGTTTAATGTCTTTTCCTCTTCCCTAGATTCTTTGGCAAGATTGTTAGTATGGGCAACCTGGCCAGTGTTTTTCACAGCTGTACCCCTAGCCCCTAAGAATACTACTATTCTGTTTGTATATAGGCACAGAGACAGAATTAAGCCTGTTCTCAAACATTTGCAGAAACATTTTCTGGGAGAGCCACTCAGAACCAAAGTACCAGGGAAGAGGATGCTCTTTGCTGCACCCTGGCCTATATGTGGCTGCCCTTTTTTGTGTTTTATACCTTATACAAAGCTGTTCTCATCTGACATCAGAGATGGTGGGATGGGAGAATTTGGCATGGTTTTTATTTTCTTACCTTCCTTCTTAGCCACATGCTTTGCAGAGTCAGTGGAATGAATAAATCACAGGTTTTATACTTGGACAGACTTTGGTTTAAATCCCGAGAAACGTGTGACATGAACTGCTTATTTAATTTTTTCTAAACCTTTGTCTTTTCACCATCATCACAGCTAACATTAATTTACTATCTATTGTTGTAGACACTATTCCAGGCCCATTATCTGCATTAACTCATTGAAGATTGGTGAAAACCTACAAAGTAGAATTAGTAGATTTCTCATCTTATGCGTGAGGATTAAGAGATGCACAGAGGTTAAGTAATCCTGAAGTTGTGCAGCTAATTGGGGGTAAATGTACATTTTACTCAGGAAGAACCCATGTTCTTAATCTCCACCCTACAATGCCTCTTACTGTGAGGTGAATATATCAGTCAGAGTGAGCTATGTTTCAGTAACAAAACCCCCCAAATCTTAGTAACTTGAAACAACAAAGGTTTCTCTTTTTTTTTTTTTTTTTTTTGCTTTGTTACATATATTGGCCGGGAACTGTGTTCAGCCCTGTCCTTTTTCCAGGACTAGGCTGAAAAAGCGGCCACATTTCGGAAAGTTAACATTTATAACAGTGAGAAAGAGAGCTTTAGAACAGGGTGGAGCATAGACCTAGAGATACTGTTGGCGTCTTGGGATGAATAATTACTTGTTTAAGGAACTGGCCTGGGCCCTGTAGGATGTTTAACAGTACCTGGCCTTTACCCATCGGGTGCTAGTAGTACTCTCTCCCTAGTTGGAACAAACCAAAATTGCCAAATGTCCCTTGGGTGGCAACATTATCCCTGGTTGAGAAACACTGCCTTAGACTAAGATCTCAGACTAGAAGTGAAATTCTACACCCTGGCAATGATACACATCTCAGTTCGTCACATGAACACATCTAACCACAAGCAAGCCAGGAAGTGCATCCCACAAAGAGAAACACGAAGAAAATTAGAAATACCTGCTGAACAGAGTTAATAGTTACCACGGATGGGGATAATAATATGCACCTTAAAAATTATTGCGCAGAGCCGGGCTCGGTGGCTCAGCCTGTAATCCCGTGCCTTTGGGAGGCTGAGGTGAGTGGATTGCCTGAGCCTGAGGGTTCGAGACCCGCCTGGGCAGCAAGACCTCATCTCTACAATAAATCAAAAAATCAGCCAGGCGTGGTGGTGCATGCCTGTAATTCCGGCTACTTGGAAGGCTGAGGCGGAAGGATCGCCGGAGTCCAGCAGGTCGAGGCTGCGGTGGCCGGGAGCGGCCATTGCACTCCAGTCTGGGCGACAGTGAGACTCCAACTCAAAAAAAAAAAAAAAAAAGATTATTACGCAGATTCTTAAGTCAGTGTGGACATCTAAGGCAGTTTAGAGCAGAGTTGGCAAACTATGTCCAAATCCAGCTACTGATTTTGTAAGTAAAGTTTTATGGGAACACAGTTATGCCCATTTGTCTTTATCATCCATGGCTGCTTTCATGCTACAGCAGCAGAGGTGAATCTGTGTTTGCAACAGAGACTGTCTGGCTGGCAAAGCCTGAAATAGCTACCATCTTGACCTTTTTGTGGTAAAAGTTTTCCAACTCCTGTTTTAGAGAATCGAACTTTGTTTGGAAACAGGACTTCGGTCTGAGCAAGACTAGAAAGAGATGCATAATGCTGCTTCCATGTTTGTTCTAAAATGTCAAGATGCACTTAGAGGACCATCATGCCTCGATCGGCTGCCATGGCAGCGCACTCATGTTTCTACTTGTAATCTTATCAGCCCCACCTCAGGCCTGAGACAGGATTCACATATATCTGCATCTACCCTCCTGATTTGTGTAATGAGCACCTTGCAATTAAAGTTAAAAATACTTTATTGGGCCTACACCACATGTGTGGCAAAGTGTACAGATCATAAATACACAACCCAGTGAGCTTTCACAAGTGGAACTCACCCCAAAAGTGTCCTTCTGCTTCCTTCAGGTCCCACCCACTGTTCCCAGGGTACCCTGACTCCTGAGAACTTGCTAACCCCAAAAAGTCTTCTTATGGACAATTTTCAAACATACCTTACAGTCGAGAGATTAGTGAAATGAACCCCACTGTATTCTTCACCAGCTTCAAAAGTTATCGGCATTGTGCCATTTGTGCTTCACTTCTTCCTCTTGCTCTCTCTCCACCTCTCTCCCTTCCTCCCTCAATCCTTCCTTCCCTCTCTCTTTCCCCCCTCTTTCTCTCTTTCTCTTCTCTTTCCAGATGGATGGATGAATAGATAGACATAATATCTACAGCTGTAAAATATCAATTGGATGCTCATCTTTATAAGTTTTAACTTCTGTTTTCTCCTTTGTGAAGTAGGCGTGATAATAGGTCCTGCATACGTCCTTACAGGCTTGTTGGGGGCTGAGGGGATTGATTTACCCGTCTTAAGCTGTTATAAGACCAAGTAGTTCGAATTCAAGAAATGTTAACTGTTGACATCATCATTTTCATTATCGTGTGATTAGAGGGAGCTAATTAGCAGGGTTATAACTGCCCTTCCTTCCTTTCTCTAGGTCTATGCCGTAGTGGTGATTGCATCTGTGGTGGGATTTTGTCTGGTGGTAATGCTGTTTCTGCTTAAGTTGGCAAGACACTCCAAGTTTGGCATGAAAGGTAAGAAGGGTTTTGTTTATTTTGCTTCTTATGTGGAATCATTTTTGGCTTATGACTAATGCTAATTACCACTAAAGAAGGAAGCGGCTAGATTTATGATGACTAGGTTTTAAGGCTGAAAAAATAGCAACAAGGATATGATACTACAAATCAAGACAGAGCAAAATAATGTTGATTACTCAGCACTACCCACTTTCCCGTGAAGACAGTTGTCCCAGAAGACACAGAACTGGTTTCTTGGTGATCAAGTGACCGACTAATAATGATATAGGGAAATAAACAGTGCTCGATTTTTTTCCTTTTGCTCCAGGAAGGCAGGCGAGGCACAATTGCGGTAGAATAGTCGGGACATGTGTACTTTGTGCAGGGAGGTCTTTTTTGCTGTGCACCTGACTTTCACGTCTTCAGTGGTATGCTTTTGGTGTTACTATTGCTTTTCAAGATTCTCATTCATTGAAATTTAAACAACAGGTTTGGGAAACAAAATAAGGACAGCCATTAGCGGTACATGGAAATTTTGTGAACGAATGGCTTTTTTTCCTCCTCAGTGGAAAAATTCTCAGTGCTAGATGAAAAATTAGGGACTATAGTGTTCTGTTTTTAGAGGATTGAAAAACACTTGTAGGGGGAAGACCTTGTATAAATGTTCTTATATAAAAAGCGAAGAGTTTCAATGATTTAAAAGAATTTACTTTGAAGTTTAAATGTATGTATTGTCTAATATGTTATTGTTGCATTTTGGGTGATCTCTTAGACACTATAATGTCTAAGTGAAAAACCTGGAGTAAACTTTAGTGGTGTTTTGGTTGTGTTGGAGAGTTAGTGTGGTGGATTTTCTTTAACTGTGTGGTGTGTTAGAATTACTATTACTCTTGCATGTTTATTTTGAAAGGAATGTTTAAGTAACAGTAAGTTGTCCAGCACACACTCGGATCTAGGGTAGGTCAGATCTATTTCTGATGTTTCTTTCTTTCCCTTTGTTGGTGCCTATGACCAAGACTCCTAAGCCATAAGCAAACAGGGAGGAGTAGTGCTAAACTGCGGCTTAAAACAACTCCATACCTCCTCCCGATCCCTCCTTAGTCGGCTGATCCTTGACGTTTCCTTAGTGTAAGAAAACAATCTTTCATTCTCCTTATAAATAAGGCTTGGGAGACAGACTGCCCTACAATGATTTTAATTCATTTTACAAGGTGGTTCTCAAACTTGACTGTGCACCAAAGACTCCTGTAGAAATTGTGAAAACATAGGTTGCTGGCCCTTCCCCCAGAGTTTCAGATTTAGTAGGTCGGGGTGGACCCGACTACTGGCATTTCTAACATTTTCCAGGGGATGCTGGTGCTGCTATTACCAAAAGGTTATTTGAGCATCACTGTTCTATGTGAGACAGTAAACATGTACTTTCAGGTCCCCTTCTGAGTGCAGTGAAGTGCGCAGGGAGGCATTGCAAACTAAACTCACTCACCGCTTTACAGACCTTTCGGGGTCCCCACATCTCAGCTGGTACGCGGGCCTGGGTCAGGCTGCCGCTACTCTCTACATGCTGCTACCTACCATGGCATTTTGTTTTTCTCATTCTTCTCAGGTGTTTCTTTCTTTAAAAGCCCTTGGGGTGGATGTCCCCAAGTGTAGATTTCACTGGAGAGTCCCTGATCCTAGCAGTAGAATTTCTAGTCTTGAAGTGTTTGATTTGAGATCTTTCATCCTAAGGGCTCTTCGGGGAGAGGATGCTTCCAGGTTCTTCCAGGAGCTTGGCAAAAGCTTTGGGAATCTTTGGAGCAAAATTTAGGAGCCCTTCCTCATCCTTGGTTTAGGAAAACCACTGACAGAATTCCCAGTAAATGTCAACCTCCTCTCTATAGTGCAGTGATGGAGGAGAAAAAAGGTGGACATTTTGTTTCAGAGAAGATTGTATTTCATATAGAGACTCCAGCACTAAGATTGAAACAGTATTTTATTTGGATAATTTGGGATGATTACCACTAAAGCATCTACATTTTCTGAGTATAACCTGGGGGCATCTTTAATGAATTGTAAGACAGAGTTTGTGTAACCTTGCCTGCAAAGCTAGCAAATGACTTCCTTCAGGCGGTAAATACTATACATATTGTATGTTTTCCCCTCTTATTTCTAAGCATAAATAAAATCATTTTTAGAAATTTTGTCTTAGAGACTCACTTTCTTCCTTAGCATAGCTTATTTTTCTATTTTTAGCTACATGTCTTCTGTTGCATGAGATGAACAAAGTGAACCTGGTCTGGGGTTATTGTTTTATAAGTCAAATGTTGAATTGATAATCTTTGAGAATATAGAAATTAAGATGTGATTCACACATCAAGTACAAATGAAACTGCATAAAAAGTGGTGCTTAAAAATTAATGTAAGTTAATGTATTTTAAATGCTGTTGGAGCTGGGATTACTGTTGAAAGTATACGTCTTTAAAAAGGGAAGAGTATGTAAAAACACTATTATACTTCCCCAAATAACCAGGCAATGTGTCAGTCATGATTTCTGAGTAACCACGGTATGAACAGTGTGCCGCCTTGGCCAGGACTAGGCACAGGGTGAGAGGCCCGTGGCTCGTGTACAGATGAACTATTTCCAGTGTAATTTCTGCCCTCATAAGCAACTTCTGGGAGGTTCTGAGCCCATCTCCCTTCTCTTATTTTGGAGACAGATTGAGACAGAAGGATGACTGCCAGCCCACCTATAGGTATTCACTGCTTTGTGCCCATCCCTAACCTTGCACAGTGTATCTTGAGTGTTGACTGTTTAAATCTGTAATGGAAGCCTCAAGATTATTGACTGCAGTTTAATACTGCTGATTTGAAGGTCCCAGATCTACAAAACCCAGAGACCTCTTAAGATCACATTACAGCTGTATGCAGGGCAGCTCGAGATTTAAGGATTTACCCAAGACCCTCCAAATATGATTTATGGTGTTGCTTTCATGGGAAGATGATGGGAAGATTCCAAACCTGGCTTTGAGAATACAATCAGTGGGCTGTGGTGATGTCTTTGGAAATGAGTCTATAAACTTCACTAGGTTTTGTTTCCTTTTCTGCCATTCACCCTAAATCAAATGCTGATGGTCCAATCCAGAACGTTGCACAGACTGTGTGCTCCGTGGTGACGACATTCATATTTGTCTTGGTCATCTTTATTTTTCCAGTGCCTAGACTGAAGCGGCAGTTGATAAATATTCATTGACAGAACAATCAGAATTTTTACCTTCATCCACTTTAGTTGGGCCATTGAAAACCAGTTAATAATTGGGAGAGGGCTAGCATGTGAGTGGTTAGCGAAAGATTCTGGGACTTTTCTAAGTTTCTAAAGGGGACAAAGCATCCCCCGCCTTTAAAAAAATGATTGATAAGTAATGGCCATAGAGAAGAGGTCATTTTATCAAGGTTTGTCTTAAAATATGTAGGCTGTTGCAGTCTGTTTTAAAAATTATTATTTTTACATTTAAAGAATTTACTTAGGCTTTTTAGTTTACACACGAACATCTTCAATTTCTACCTCCCCACCTTTGCATGGCTTTGGACTATGTGTCTTGGAAAAGTTCTGAAATCAGCAGAAGTGCCAGATGGGAGCTCGTATCTTACTGCTAACCTAGAATTTATCTTTTATTATTGCTCGATATAGCTTATGTTTCTTGTTTCTAGTGTCCAATAGGCTACTGGCCCCATTTCGTAAAGATGTCAAGAGGTAGCATTTATCCCAGTCCGTTTTGTTATGTTCATTTCTGTGCCTTTACACTGTCCTAGTGCTTTTTTGGTTGAATATCTAGTTATCATAATTACAGAAGCCACGAATAATGCCCCTCTGTTAGTGTTTGGCCATCTGCATAGGGATTATTCATATGTATGTTTAGCATGGATGCATAAAATGTATAACAAATCTATCTAAATCTATGTCAGTATTGATATCTCTATATGTAAACGCATAATTTTATCTCTTTTTTTCTAAGGCTGCCTCTGATATTTAATTTTAGTTTTTACTGAAATAGGGCTGAAAGAATTTTCCAGAGCAGTTCTATTGCCAGAGGAATAGGCAACCAGGCCTTTGAATGCCTTCCTTGTGCTGTAACCAAGTCTTGTGTTTAGCTCTCACATTGCTTCCTGGATTCCTCTCTTCATTGAAGATGTAGGAGTGCCTATGAAGGGGAAATGGAAGCATCTAGAAGCACAAGGGCTGCCAAGTCTTCAGAGTGCTCCACATGGGAACCCTGCCTGTGGCATTGATGGTACACAGGGTTGCAAAAAATACCAGGGAGCCAACAGGGTGGAGGGGACCTGGCACACCTCACACACACTGGTGAAGAGTGGTTTTGGCTATTAGCTTTGTTTTCCTTGTATTTGACCTTCTGGAGTAAAATATCTAAGTGACCCTAAGAAATCCCCGCAGAAGGAAGCAGAGGCAGAAAGCTTTTCTCTTATTCAGTGTTGATAGCCTGCACAGATTTCCTCAGCAGCCTGTGATTCTTGCACGGAAACCGCCCTGTCCACATTCAGTCCTGCTATTTGAGCCTTAGAGGTTTCCAGTTAGTAAAGACTGAAAAGCTACACTGCCTGAGGATACAGATCCAAGTTTCTTGACTCAGATGCAAGGCCCACAGTTCAAGTTTCTTTTCTTATAAATGATCTTCTAAATGTCTTTCAACAGTAACCAAAAATCTAGTTATTTAAAAATAGTCATAAACAGAGTGGGGCCAAAGCTAAAGAGGTTGAACGTTAAAGACCTTTATATAAGCCGAAAACAATTCTGGAAAGCTTAGGAGGTTGAGTTTAGCAGATATTTGGATCAACTTTTAAAAGAGGGAAAAATGTGATCAAAAGCCAGAAGCACAGTTGTAGAAACATCTGTAAGGACAAACTGTTTTCCATATGCACCCCCTTCTGTTTTTTTTTTTTTTTTTTTAAAGAAAAATAACATTGGAAAATTATAACAGTAACAAATGGATGCAATCTTCTTTTTCGAAATTGCAAGCAGTTTA